AACGCCGTGTAAACATACTGTAAACATTGTGTCAACTTATTTCGCAAGTATGGAGAACAGCGATAGATGGACGCTAAATGAAGTGCAGGCACTTGTAGCGAATGTAGCACTGCCAGTTGTCGTTGGAGATTCTTGACGTCGCTGTCGACCGGCTTACATCACTTCTTAGTACACACTCTCGGTGCGAATGCAACCCTTTAAATGGTACTGGGAAATAGTTCGCGCAAAATCGTCCCAGTACTTTAGTACTGTACATTTAGTTCTGGAACTAAAGCGGTGCGAAAGTCCCTATTATGTGTAAAGGGGTGTGTGGGCCCTAGTTGTCACTAAATGCACCAAGGGCCCAACTTTTTTCTTTATTTTAGAAGTTTCAAGACACCCAGAACACCTTAGAATTGTGGTAGCAAGTTCTGAACATTTCGTTCAAGATCCAAGCTCTCATGTGCAACAAACCAGTCTAACATCCATCCATCCATCCAGTTTCCAGACAGATGGCCAGTCCATCGTAGAGCTAAAACACACACACATATGGACAATTTATTGTCTCCAGTTGGCCAGTCTAACAGATCTAGTTTAATTAAGATAACATGCTAACACTCTCACTGACTTTGTAAATCTCTTTGATTAAAAAGAATCAGTAATTATCATAGGGAAAAACATATGAGGTGAGAACAGACCTCCTTTTCCTTTTAAATGGATTGCCTGGTGCTGGTGATCAATAATCACAATTGATTTTGGTCAAACAGCTGTGAAGCTACAATCCATTCAAAGGTTCTCAAAGAAATGAACAATAAATACGTTGAAAGATGATTACCTTTGTAGAGAAGAATAATTTACACTACAAAGAGCAGTGAATAATACAAAGGGATCACACTCTTCTTTAAAGCAAAGAAAGAACTAAAGAAAGAACATTTGCATTCAAACACAGCATCTCTTATTGACAGTCAAGATGATTTGCAGATTCTATTGAAGAGATGCCAGCATCATTTAGCAGGCAAATGTTGAATACACATGCCTTATCCAAGATGAAGCTGCAATGAGTTCACTTTGAGCATCAAAGGCACATATGGGGATAATATTACAGATAAACTACATGATTGTAATATGACTTCCAGATATATCTTCTGTCTTTGTGTGCTGTATGACTAAGGTTGTGCAGTTACAACAGTTTTGAACCACTTGTTTTTGTCCATTTAGTAAACATTTAACTTTTGCAACTAGATCTTTTAAATTTTTTCTGAAGAAAAACTTGTCTTTGCAATATTTGCCTCTATATCGCTGTGTGGTTGCTGACTGAGCCAAGTTTAATTTACCCTCAAGTTATAAGTCTGTATAATTTGATTCGGAACTATATTTCTGTCATGACAACTCTCGGAAGGTTTAGCATGGTAATATGCATGGCAATGTTAATGTGTTTGGTCTTGGCGGAATAGATCTGCTACGAGACTTGCTACTGCCAATACATCCACAAACATGCTGCTGTGAGCATGTAAGAAATACTGCTGCACATATAACACACATGAAATTACCCCCGCATATATAACATACATGGAATCACCCCATAGCAGATCTATACAGGTGTAGCTGGGGAAGGTGGAGGGTTTCTGAAGTGCGCTGCAACTGCTACAGCAAGTACTAGCCAAGTACTTGTATAATGAGCAACAAAGCTAATTGGATGCTGATGCAACTAAAACCAATCAGCTGCTCCATGTGCATAATGATGTGATTATATCATATAGAGTGGCCTGCGCCATCTAGAGTTTCATGGCAGAGCTTTGTATGTATGGATCAGGGTCCTCCTTCAGAGTAAATTTAAGACTGATTTTACACTAGCACAGTTGATGTCAGAGTTCAGTTACTTCGGATGATATGAACGCTGTTTTCTAAGTTCAGGTGCGTACCTACGAACAGTGGTCTGGGGTATGTTTTAGGTGAACTAGTGTGAAAGCAATCATCATGTAGTAAATTGTAAAAGTGAAGCACTATTGATGATGTATGATTTGGTCGAATTATGTTCCTGACAAGTGGGACTGAGGCAATGTTTATACCTGGTATCATTTTTAGTGAACCGATCTATGTTGCATGGCTTATGAGTGAGAGTCCCATAATCCCACGAATGAGCCATAATCTGTGCACTGTACTTTTGATACAACTCAGTTTCAATTACTTGTTTTGGTGTGCTTTCTCACAACATGTTCCTGAACGATCACATATGAGTGGGTGGCAAGTGGGCAGAGTGTGGTCCGGGACATATTCGGGACAGATGAGCACTACATATGCAATCTGGTCTCATGCGTTTCTGACTACCTATGTAGTTTTAGTGATCCGATCACCAAATGTTTTAGACCTTGCATTTAGCATATTTAGACATTGTCTACACTGTATTTAGCGCTGACCACTTGTGATCCAATCACAAAAATTGGATGTTACTGGCAGATGTAAACAGTGACTCTGCTCTTTAGAACTTCTGCAATAAGTTTGTGGAAAGAAAAACAAATGTTCAAAAAACAAAGTCCAAAAGTAAGAATAGCAACATTATCTATTTTACTGCCATTTTATGGGTTGTTGTTTCCTATAGCAGCAGGCGTAAACAATTGCTGTTTCAAAGACAAATGTACTGTGGTTCTGACCCAAAAAGTACAATTGTGAACAGAATCCAGTAGGGAGAATAGCAATCAAACTCTAATTCAGACCAAGCAATTGTACCAAATATGAAAGTACTCTAAGAACAACTGGCGAAAATCATCTTGCTCACTCAAAGTGCTAGCATAGTTATCCTCACCAAGATGCATGATTAAAGATATCGTTCGGGGAGCACCAATGGTGCAGGACGAGTTACCAAAAAAATTGACCACATGTTCTCTCTTCATCTCTCAGACTGCGTCTGTCTGCACCCTCCCCCACTTCTTTCTTTCAGTCGATCCCTCATTAGTCTCACTGAGGTCGGTTCACACCTCATTGCCACCTCCATTCATTACTGTATTTGGTGATAAGCCCCCGTTAGTAAGTCAATGGGACCCTTTCAGATTCAGCTGCCTGCTTGCTTGCCAGAAGAACAAGAGGGGGCCTAACAGGCAATTTGTTTAGATTTATTCCTAGGCTTTGCCATTGTGGGAAATAAGCTGAGAGGAACACTTCCTCTTTTCAGAGAATGTATCTTTTGGGTCTTACTAGCATCTGGTCTCATAAGTAGAGTTAGGGATGACTAAACCATTTGATGGTCTAATGGGCAGTAGGGGTATATAGTCATTTCTCTGTCGCTGGGAAAATAATAATGTTAAAGTAACTGATGTTTCAATAAAACGTGTCAAAAGAAAAGAAAACAGACAAGGAAACATTAGTCCTGGGGCCCTTTTGGAACAAGAGTGGTGTGTCACACATTGCAGAGGCGTCTGCTGTCTCCTTCTTGGACTTTGCTGTTGTTTGGAGAGCAAATTGGGTCAATAAAGGTTTTAGTAGAGAGAAAATTGCCACCTCAAGCCCTGTGAGGAAACCTCACAACTGTGAACAGAACACTACCAAACAAATAAACAATGTTCAAATTGGAATTTCAGAGGAAACTGTTTGGTTGTTTCTCAGAATGGAATACGTCACACTTGTAATGTTTCTGTTTTTACTTTTTAAGATGTTTATTTTTCCTTTTAATCATATCTTTTAATATAGCTTGAAAAATGTGTCTTTGCCAGGTCCATTGTAAAATTTCACAGGATAAACATTTTATGTTCTCTCCTGAACTCACTGAGTAGGCTCTAATAGTGGGGGCCCCTTCATTACAGAGCCAGGACAAGGGCCCCCAACAATGGCCGTGCCGCTACTTAAGCAGACGCTTCAAGGATCCACGGATGTTTTCTATGCTATAGTACCTTCAAACCAATTGGAATTTGAATAAAACAGGAGATGTTAATCTGGAGTTTGACCGAACCTTTTCCTGCTGTTGAGATAATACATTTGCAAGCTCTTAACTTTGTTGTGGTCATCTTTACTATGCAAACACAAACGTGTCAGGGGTGTGTGGACATTGTTGTCACAAACAGAAACAATGAACGGAACAGCCTTATCTACGGAAGATAAAGCAAACGTATCAGTCATTCCATATATCTAACAATGTCTTTAAAGCATTTAGAATGTTATCGTATTTATCTTAATAGGTAGTTCATGCATAACGTGGACATTATTTTATTATGATTTTTTTTTATTTACCTGGCTTATCATATAACACAACACAACACAACACAACACAACACAACACAACATAACATAATATAATGATGTTGTAGCTATATTGAAAATGTAGAATGTCATTGTTTTTCTTTTGAGCAAGGTATTTGATAGGGGTTTTAAGAGGGGCTCGGTTTGACAGAAACTACAATCCCAGGATGCACTGGGTGAGCTGTTTGGTAGTCCTGAGGTGTTAGTGATGGAGGGGGAGTCAGGTTTTTCTGCTCACACTCCTCCATCCGTGAGTGCGGAATCCCGGTGTATCCTCTGAAGTGTTGGGGGAGGCCGACGACACGGACTACAAACCAGTAAAAAGATACAAACGTAAAGTTAGTTTCCGGCGGCTAGACCAATTAATACAGAGGACTGCGACTCAAGTAAAATCGCATTTGAACGTTTCGATTAGATTTGACTTTAAGAGTCGGACTGCCGACCGAAGTAGAGCTTGAGGTAAAAGTTTTCCCCCCCTCTACCTTCTTTTCGCACGAACGCAAACAAAACCACACGGGTGGCATTTTCAGAAGAAAACCAGACTAACCCGGTCGGAAATCGCTTCGTTGGGTCTGTAATGAGTCTTTAACGTTGTGATACTCAACCGAAATCATCTTGACGCGATCTTGAGGACGAGCTCGCGTCTCTGCTGAGTGTTTTCACTGATTTCAAACGATTCTCGGACGAGTCGAAAGAAAGAGTTACATCCGAGTGAGTTCATGAAAACCAAAAAGGCTACGACAGAGGAAGAAACGTGGAGTTTCGTCCAGTGACTATTTGGGAGTCGGTATTTTACGAACTTCTGAATCTGATCAGGGATTGACACATTTTCAATATTCAGAGAGGATTTGTTCCAGAAAGGAAAAGGTGAGTACGCCTGTAAATGGACTCTAGCATGTTCGTCTGTTAACAAATAAAAAATACAAATACAAATGCTTTGCTGTTTTATGGAATTATAATAATATGCTAGAAGTGTTTGTATAAAAACGCGTATACACTATAAAAACACGCTTTTTTGGGAAGAGTTAGATACATGAAATTTCCAGAAACGCGTATACTATTTAGGTTGTTTATTTAAATTAATTTTTTCCTCTTGTCCACTCACTATTTTGCACCGTGCCTTGAATAATTTGCATTTGTTATATTTGTCTCTTTTAACCAAAAGAGGTTAATATAGCTACATTAATAAGCACTTTTTTTTTTAAAATTAATTTGAAATGAATGTAAAGTAAGTCTGACTGGGCAGTTTGTTTAAATGTAAAATTTATCTCAGGCTGACTGGGTTTTTTCTGTACGGTTGAGGGATCTCATTAGCTTTCATCATCAGATGGCTCCAAATCTGATATGTTATGGGAGCAATTGATGCGTATACCTGTACTGCCATCTCATATCTGAAGCCATCCAGTACAGTAGCCTACAAAAAAAAGCTTTCTCAGCAACTTTAGCAAGAGTAGCTTAAGCCACTACATCTCTCCTGTAGATACAGGTAAATACAACCTTTCCTGTTTCACTTAGTGGCTTCTGTGAATAAGGTGTTGTGCTTTGTTCAGCATGAGTAACAACTCTGAGCTAATACATTTCTTGGTATTTTTACTAGCCAGAGATTGGTCCTTGACAGTTACCTTTTAGTTTGAGTAGCATTATTTTATTGTATTTTTGTATTATTATTTTGTTTATTTTTAATTATTGTTATTGTGTAAATGCGGTAGCCTATTGGCCCACCATCTTTGAGGTTTTGCAGATTCCCTTTGCCAAAATAAATGCCTGAAGGTATCTTGATGTAAAAGGCAGGTCTGTTCTTGCAGTTGTTTATCTTCCCACAGTAAAGGACAAACAACATACATATACTGAAGAATGAGTTTGGATGTCACTGTGGCGGAAAGATAATTCATAAAAAACATCGTACAGATACACGAGACACATTAAGTCCTGGAAGCTTTTCAGTATTTTCAATGAAAGAAAAATACTCTCCAGCTGAAAGACACTTTTATGTCCTTATTTGGGCAGCTGAAGAAATGTACCTTTCACAGAGATTAATATACATTTTAATATATATTTATTATATTGTATTGTGTGTGTGTATATATATATATATATATATATATATATATACACATACACATACACATACACACACACACACACGCATACATACATATATATATTTATCATTCAACATTCTTGAATTTTGTTGTGCTTCAGATCTTATGTTTTGTCAGCAAAGTAATTCTGCACCCACCTCACAGTGTCACTCCCTCTTTTCTTCCTCATCACTCACTAGATAATTTCAGAGTACTGCAAAGTAACCCCCCTCTTCATTCTTGGACTGTGTAGTGCAGTCTAGAACTTTCTGATCGATAACTGCTATACCCTTTACATTTACCCAGTTACATATACTACAGTTACAAACATCCTTTCTTTCAGTTCAGCTTTAAAAACTCTCCCTGCTGTTAAGTGACCATTGTCATTTAATAGAAACAGACATTCACAGATCGTTTCCACCTTTTCACCGATGTGAAGGACATGATGGAGGAGCAGAGCGGTTTGTGAATGGCGACATGCTGACTGGCAACTGCATGCGCAGACTTGACCTAGACTTGTTGCAAGACGGTGCAGAAATGTGAGCAAAATACAGTCAATTAGATATGAACAGCTTTAGGCAGTGTGTGCGAGAAAGTCTGCTGAAAATAAGTTTCGTAATGAAGACCCATATTGTAGCTTGAGTTTTTTTAAAAGAGTTGGTTAAGATCCTTTTTAATTTCATTCGAATCTTGAAACAAATTTTCACAGAACATAAAGCTCAGGGTAGATGATGTTTTCGATTCATGTCTGGTTCCTTTATTCATAAAGCCGTTTTAGTGCTTTCCCTTGAAAGTTTTACGCTAGTTCTATTCAGCCATTGAAACACTGATGAACTTTAACCGAACTTGTCAAAATGTAGTTGTTTAAGTCCATAATTACATCAATTACTTAAATTAGAGGGGAAATCATTACGGCTGCTCGTCCCTCAGGATCTGACCAGTGATTTTACTGTTAGCTGCTCCAGAAAGGTCATCAGTTCGTCTGGTTTGCAGTGAAGTTAGAGTATATTGCAAAGCATCAGTTGTATTTCCATAGAGGGATATGGCATTGAAAGTTTGAGTTGCATTAGTTAGTCAGTAAACTTGTTTATCTTGGAATACTTCGAGCTGCAGTGAGGTAATGGATGTATTTGAGTCAGAGCGCAGTGATTTGAGCCAGCATTTGTGTGTTGTGTGTCACAATCACCCGTTGTGGTGATCTTGTAGTGGCCGCTTTATAGTGAAATGCTCTGTTTGAAAATGAAAGGAAGCAAATGGATGAAGGAGAAAAGACGTGCTGTGCTGTGGGTGTTCTTCCGGTGGAAGTTTGTGTTGAGAGTTTGGAGAGGAGGAATTCTCTGCCCTCTAATTTACTGGGTTGGCACAGCACTTTTAAAAAGAAAGTTACTGTTACATAACTGTTTGAGAGCTTTAGCATGAAACTTTAGGTGGAGTCTCTCAAAATGGAGAGATGTGTACAGTAGGCTTGCCGCGATAGACGGTGCTGACGGTGATACCGGTGTTAAGCCGCAACACCGGTTACGTCACTTGCCCACCGCGTCACCGACCCCCACCGTCGTTTTGATTTTTTTGTAGTAATAAAAATCATTTAGTTCAGTAAAAGAACTGACACTACAATTAAAAACTGAACGCGGCTGCTCAATGTATTTGTTTTGTTAATAAAAGTTCTATGTTTTATAAATAGCCTAAAGTGAGTTTGACGTTGAATTTTGTTGTTGCATTCAAGCAATTGACGCCGAACAGCCGCTAATTCAAAAGTGAATGTAAAATGCGCACGGCGCTTTTAAACTATTTAAAAGTGAAGGAAAGCGAGGAAAAGAGGGAAAATTCAAACTAACTAAAAACGAACAATTGCTTTACTCCGAATTGCCGCTATTTGAAAGTGAAAGTAAAATGCGCACACCGCTTTTACAAGCTATTTAAAAGCGAAGGAAAGCGAGGAAAAGAGGGAACGCCCCGCCCCCACGGTGATACCGGTATTACCAGTGTTGTCACACGTCGATTAACCGGTGGGAAAATTTCCTCACCGTCACAACCCTAGTGTACAGCGCCTTGTTCTGTTTACTTCAACACATCTGTGACTAAACAAAATAGATGACTTGGCTTCTAAATTCAGATTTTTTTTAAGGTTAGGGTACAAGATGATACCTTTATCGACACCAGAGTCAGTTTCGGTTGGGGGATCGTCCGGGTTTTTCAAGAGCACCTTTGATAGACTGAGACAGTGAGTTTAGAGGAGAATTCGAGATTTGGCAGAAAACAGATAAAGGTGCAGGAAAGGGTTTTATAGGTAAAGTTCATCAGCCTGGTCCTAGTAGCCTCCCCATGGAGTGGCAGTCTCTTGGTTTGGTGGGCCGGCTATTGCTCTGGCTCCCACCGGCGCTGGAATGAGTGAGCTCAGGCGTCCCATCTCCGACACAAACCAATGCTGTTCTCTGGAATGTTCCGCTCCAGTAGTAGGCAGCGGTAATGTGCTGGGCCTGCTGTACGCTCTCCCCATGTTCCCCTCCAATGATCAGAGGGAGAGAAAAACACGCTGGGGTTCATTAATTAGGGGTGAAAGCCCGCAGGTGATGGAGATTTACCGCTGATTACAGAACCGTCTTTCTGACAAGATGCGCGTTAAATATCGCATGTGATTAATCGTGCAGCCCTAGTACTAACTTATCTTTCCGCTTCACTTGGTCTATTTCTTTTTATTCCGTGCACTCTCTCTGTCGTCTGTCTGCACCTCCTTCCTTTTTCCCTCTCAAAGTGAACACTGTGTAAAGAATTTAAATATGGCCAGCTGAATGTTTGTTCTGCTGTTTGTTTTACTTAGAAATAGTTCACGTAAACAAAGTAACTTTTTTTTCTTTTCAAAAAATGTTTAAACATTTACATCAGCGTAATTTCAGCCAAGTCATTCGATCGTAAACTAATCCTTCTACCTTGTATTTTTTCCCTTTCCATATTAATTAAATGTGTTAACAGCTAAAACTAGTTTAGTCTTTCCAGCCAAATTAACTTGACCTGTTGAATCATTATAAGACTAGACTAAAAAAAAGAGCACAGATTTGCTAAAGCTTGTGCTTTTTATTAATAAAGTATTGGAGGGGATAATAAATGATGGGATGAAGACAGAGAACAAGAAATGTCTCCGATTCAATCGGGTTTCCCACATGAACTCACAGCTTTTATATATTAGAGCATGTGCACTAGCTGTATATATAGAGCATGTGCATTACTATAGCTCTGACAAAGAATTAGCATACTTTTTTTTTTTTAAGTAACCAGCAAACTAAGATTTTGCTAACATGTTTTCTGAAGTTTTAATGATATTTTTTGCAACTCGGACTCTGTCAGCTGTTGACTGTGTCTAGTTCCTCTTAGCTCACCTGCCCTGTGGGGAGTTTCCCATGGGCTGTGTTTGCCTTTCTTAATACTTCATGAATTAATTTTGGATAAACTGTAGAGAAGTTAGGAATTAAATGAATTAGAAATGTATATGAAATTTTCCTTTATTGGAATATAAACTATGAGTTTTGTGTGCAAGATGGTGCTTTAATCTTTTATTTACACCATGTCACCTTGTTTATTATAATAGAAGCACTCTAATTTTGTCATATGCCTCTTTATTGTTACACTTCAGTACATTACTGGTGCACAAAGCAGATTCATATTAGTAGGTCTTGCTGCTGTCAGATTTTTTTTTGTTTGTTTTTGGCCTGGGGGTGATTATCGGTATGTTGTAAGTAGTGGTCGACCGATATATCGCCAAGGCCGATATCTGCCATTTTTCAAATATCGGCATTGGCCAACAGTTTTTCTGTTTGGCCGATTTGTTCGAGGCTTTTATTTTGACGGCGCATCGGATTTTTATTTTGACTGCGCCGAGAACGGCTGCGGCAGCACCTGAGCACACAGTGCGCACATTCTCCCTCTTATTCGCTGTTGTCATTCAGTTCTGTCTAATACGGATAGAAGTCTATCTAATAATCAGATAGAACTGTTAAACAAAGGAATTAAAATGTATACAAAAAAGTATTATAACGATTGCTTTAATATTATTAAAGGCAAACATTATAATACTTTCTCGTTTGCCGTCAGCATTCCGCAAATACGCATTTATATAATTTAAACAAATCTTTGAATGACTAATGAGCATTTAATTTCACAAACCTTGCAGACTTAGTCGAATCTAGTTGAGATCTTGTGAAGTGTGCATGTGACCTGCATGATCACGTGTTCTGTGACGGTCGGTCCTATGGTCCATGCGAATTGAATACGGACAGGAGGAGAGATCAGCTTCACTGGAGACGCGCGATCGACAAACTTTAAACTTGTGACTGATTTCAAATTATGCTGCGCTTTATGCATTTGCCCACTGTCATATTCATGTCATTTTCACTGTGTGCTGTATGTAAAATTAGTGTTACCTTGTATGGCTGCACGATAAATCGAAGTGGAATCGATATCGCGATTCGACAGAAGCTGCGATTGTCATGCGTATCTTTCAGTGAAGCACGGTTCTGTGATCAGCAGTAAATCTCCATCCGAAGGCCAGAGGGCGCTCTCGTGCTGAAACTCCAAATACGCCTCGCAGAAGAAACCCAGAAAATGCCTATCGCTGCAGCTGAATAAACAGAAGATTCAACTGCTTTCATTGATTCAACGTGACTAATAAACACACGACTATGGCAATATACGGTTTATCTGAGTTCTTATTATTATAATTTTCATTAAAATAAAGTATATTTATAATGCAATGCCTTTATCACTGCTTAAATACTATGAAATATATTGTGTCATCTGAAAGCACGTGATGATGATTTACTGCTGATTACAGAACCGGCTTTTTAAACAAAATGCGCATGACAATCGCATTCGATTAATCTTGCAGCCCTATTACCGTGGCTTTATTTGGAAAAATATGATTCCCAATGCACACAAACTTCCCAGATTACTTAGTGCCCTGTTGGTTACAGTGTTTACTTCCTTTTTAATTATATTTTTATTAAATATTTATTTATTTCTGAAAAATACTTTGTCTTCTAGAGCTTACTCAATTTCCTTTTTATTGAAGGAAATTAAAGTATAACTAATGTCATTTGTTTTTAAACATTTTATTAAGTATAAAACTTGTGCAGTTATGCTAATTAAGAAGGAAAACTTTGTTGTGAGTGGTTTGCAACAAACAAATGTACAGAGGTCCTTTTTTATTAGTGGCCCCTACAAAACATTCTCAAAACAACCTAAAAGGACAGTTAAAAAGGGCTTAATTAAAAAAAAAAAAGTTATTCCAAATAAATACCATAAAATACCATAAAATAACCTGGTATCTGCAGGATTTTTTTAATCAAATTTAAGACCTTTAAAGAACTTTTTAAGGTTTGCACTTCACATTTCAGCCTTTAAACAATTTTTAAGAACAGGGATGAGTCAAAAGTATCAATTATTATATTAATTTAAACAATTATTATCAATTAATTATTATATTAAATAACATATAAATATATCTTAGTGTCTTAATTGTTTAGATTTTTATAATGCATTAGCTTTTTGTCGATCCACTGGTTCACATTTAAAAATATGTAGCAAAAATAGCAGATGGGCTTATTGAAAAAGCAAATTCGTTCTCTGCCAGCAGGTGTCACTTTCGGAACTGCACATATAGTGGCTTCCCCGGTAACCGCAGTACACAAAGCTGACGTGCAGCGCTCAAGTTTATTCAGTGAAATCGTAGCCTTTTGAAGTTTAATTGTCATATTAATCCATATAGCAATTCTTGTCTTTCCATCCCCAAAGACCTCTTATAATTTAGAGTTTTTGTACCATTTAAGAGTTTGCATGGCCTGAAATGTAAACAATTTAACTGAAGACGTTTTAAGGACCCGTGGAAACCCTAATAAGAACAGTCCATTTCCTTATTTGCTAATGTTAATGAATGTTTACATTAGAGTGCACGTCCTACTACGCTGAAATTAATAGGGGAGCGGCTGGAAACTAGTGACCTCTCCTGTTTGGAGATAGTATTAACATCATAAACTGAAAGCAATCTTTCCGTGACTTGCTTTTCAAATGTTTTAAAATTGATCATCCGAGTCTAATATGATCCAGCGGGCCGTACTAAAAGACACTGCGGGCCGTATATGGCCCAGTTGCCCATCCCTGTTCTAGAGTATAAGTATGTTTATTTTACACGATTATTTTTAATACACTTTCAAATGATTTCAAATTTCTTAAATATGAATTAAAATAAATACAATTATATCGGCCATCGGCCACCCTGCTTTCCAAGATATTGGCATCGGTATCGGCTGTCAAAAAACCCATATCGGTTGACCACTAGTTGTAAGTGTCTTTTGCAGTGTCTGGCAGAGGATTGGAGTTGGCACAAGCTCCGAGTCCGTCACCCCTGGCTGACCGTTTGCCCATCTCTCCATTTGTCTCTTCTTCTGGTTTGTACCAGCTGCAGACATGGCTTGTAAAATGAAACCAACACAATCTCTATGGGAACGATTTTATGTGTATCAAGTCTCAATTCTTGGTGTTTATCCAAATTGCTCGTCCTTGTTAGAGCAGCTGTGAAGGTGATAGGCTCTCATTGCATCTCATTGCATTGTTCTGTAAAATATTTGTCTCAAGGGCATTATGCACCACCTTTTTTTACAAGGGCACTAGAACTAGAAATGATATAGGTGTAAGATATTGTATATTAACATTGTATTGTACTTAAATACTTTACATTGTTACAAAAAATTATATTTCAAATAAATTCTGCTTATCAAAGAAGCCTGAAAAAATGTATCAAGATTGCACAAAAATATGAAGCAGCCCAACAGTTTTCAACATTGATAATAATAATAAATGTTTCTTGAGCAGCATATTAGAATGATTTCGGAAGGATTATGTGACACTGAAGACTGGAGTAATGAAAAACAGTTCTTTTAAATTGGAATAATATATAAATATAAAACCCTAAATAATTGTGCAATGGTTATTTTTACAGAATAAGTTGAATTCAAAATCTACTTGGCTCAAAAATGTGACAGGACACATGTCCAGTTTGAATGGGCATGACATTTCTGATCTGTCAGGAGAATTGAAATGCATTCACGACAATTCCCAACTCACCAGGATATTTCCTGAGATTTTTTTTCCTGTGTTAATGTTAAATAGGTGCACAAACAGTCAATTAAGTTTTCATTTAGGCTAGTTAATTTAGTAAGTCTAGCTTCATATTAGCTTTAACCATATTAAGATTTCTTTCAATTTATTGACATTTTGGGAAGACAAAATCCCAATTACAAGACATTCAAATTACCACAGCTGAACATTCTGAAAGAAAAACATTTGGCGCATTGTGAAGCGCTGCTCTTTTCTGACTGATCCGCTCATAGTGGGGTGCGTGATGAAATGTGTAAATGATGAGTTCCGATAGCTAGTAGGACAAATGGCGTGTCGGGGTCATGCTGGGGTCCAAACAAGCACAGGGTTGACCGATATCTGTGAAGGGTTGGAGGAGTGTGGTTGTGTTTCTGTGTATTTTACTGCATGTGTTCGTAAGAGCAAACAGATGGAGTGACCCTGCAAAGAACTGCACCACGAAACTCTTCTTTCCGTTATAAAATTATGTACGTTAAGGTTTATGCAGTCTGCTTTGATAGATCTTTGTCTTCTGTGCATTAATGTAGCTAATATCAGAAAGTTCCAAATTAACTTGTTGTTCAGAGTGATTTAGTTGATGCAAACTCAAAGGCTCAGAATGTTGTCTTCAGTTGTAGTGGAAACGTTTGCGGTCAAAATCCTTAAGTTCTTAAAGGACGTGCTGTTCCACTGTTGACCTTATACAGCAAAGTTATGTTTCAGTCAGTCTCATGGCTACGTCTAAAATGGATGGAGCGTTTTATTAGGCTGTTTAAAAAAAAAAAAAAAAACCTTCATCTGTGCAGTTCAAGCATCAGAGGAGTTTTCCTGAATTTTTCTGTCAGGGATGCTTTTCTATTCTCAACTTTTGTCTACAATAAAAACTAGAGATTTATATTGTCAGTAAATGTCCTTAGTGTGAATTTGTACAATTTCTCAGTGCAAGTTACTCTAAAGAGATGATTAGCTTTTTATGTTCAGAATCATAAAATCATTATTTTATGATTCTGAACAGACTGCTTCCATAGTAATAATCGTGTGGGTGAAGAAAAATATTAACCAATAACATCATAGGATTTGTTTAACAATTCAGTCAAATCTAGATGGTTAAATTCAAGTCCCGCCCAATGTTATTTCCAACTGAGTATTCTGTTTCACTCAAATGTCACATTATGAAAGATTAATGTTGTCTTTAATCATTAGTTGTGAATATTCTTAATTGGTTTGCTTTCTGCTTTTCTCTCTCCATCTCACACCCAGTGCTGGTGTCCTAGCTGTTTTTATGGAGAGCTGGGCTGGATGCAGAGTTCAGATGTAGAAAATCCTTGATGATGATGATGATGAAGACCATGTTGCTGCTAATCTCAGTACTCCTAATTCAGGCTCTTCAGTCCCAGGGCAGACCGGCAACCCAAGATGAGAGTAAGCCTTTTTTGTAGTACTCTTGTTGTATCGTGTCTGTTGAAGATGTGTTAATAATAAACCATGTCTCAGACACTTTGCAATTAAGCAACTGAAATAGTTTTTAAATTGGTCATCTCCTACACTTTTATGCCATTTTTTTTTCTATTTTTCCTCTTAAATCCACTTAATGTTGTTTAAGTTAACAGTTGTGATTGTTTTCCACCCTCTGTCTGAGCCTAAATTAAACAGACTGTATGTTGCAACAGTACTATTAGGATTTCTTCATATATGAACATCATTAAGGTTTCACAATGACCTAATGTTAAGCTTATATTCAGGAAACTGTCTGCATAATACATCTACTGATAAGATGTGCATTAAATATCGCATGCGATTTATCGTGCAGCCCTACATCAAACACTTTTCTTCATATTCACTGTAAAAAATGTAATCAGTTTTCCAATTTCAGGTTAATTTTATGAGATTCAGCTAAATTTTTATGAGATTCAGCTTTTCAAGTATGTTTAATATAATTCAACTTGTACATCCAGTTGGATTATACTTAAATATTTAAGGTTGCAACTGAACATTTAAAGTTGAAGTAGTTGGATTTTGTTTTTATTATTCTAAAGAGCAAGTAAAATGCTGTTTTATACAATATCTCCGCATTAAAATGAGCTAGATTTTGTTGAAATGGTACAATACAATTGTATGGCTATGTCATATGACCATATGCTTGTTCTCAAACCATGTTCACATCTCCAATATGCTGTAAGTCAGTGGTGTGCCAGGGGGAATCACATTCTACTCCTAGCTATGGAAGTTTACACTTGGATACCATTCGTTCTCCATTTCCACCTCTTATTCAAAATAGTCATTTAAAACCCTAAGGACTTTCATGCACTCAAGTCATAGACCGAGAGTGAAAAAGGGAAACGGGTTGGAAAAAAAAAAACACCAGCTGAAATAAAACCCTGAAAAATGTGTCCTTTGGCAACATTCCAGCTGATCGAGTGCCTGTGGCTCTCACAGGCCCAAGCGTGCTTCCGTAGCTTCATCATCCTCTTTTGGATTTCGGAAATAGGGTGTTCCCAGGAGACTTCTAAATGCCTTACATTACAGTTACCACTATTATAAAGTGAGTGGTCACTTCTGCTCTGGCCGACTGTGGAGGCTTTAAATAAACACAGTAGTTTTGAATTTACCCCAAAGCTGGAGGTGTGAAATAGCTGCCATCTGTACCCTCCGGCTAAGCAAAAATACCTAACTTTTCTCTTCCCCCCTCTATCTCTCTTTCTCCCTCCCCGTTGTCTCACCATCCTCCTTTTGTAATGAAAAGGTATTTGTTGTCAAGAGTTGACTACCGGAGACGTTATAAATTACTGCTTTTAAAAGAAGACACAGAAAGTACTCCGCCCTGTGGTGCTATTCCACAGTGGAGATCGTGTTTCTCGGAAAACATAGCACGTTTTCTTGTGGTTGAGTGCAGAGTTGTTAAGCGTAGACCTATGGGTAGTACTCCTCATGAAAACTTGAATTGCATGAAAAAGTTGGTAAATGTTAACAAGATCGCAGATTTAATCCTGTAGAATTACTGCGGGTTTAACGAATCGGGGGCTCGTCCGGGATACAAGTTACTTCGTTCCCCATGATTTGACTATTTTGGTAATTTATTGCAGTTTCTGACTATTAGTTTGAATACTTTCCTAAAATATTTTGTTGTGACTATAATGCAGGGAGGAAACCCCAACCAGAATGTGATGGATTACCGTTTACCCACTTAATGCTTGACAGCCAAATGGCCAGGCATGCTGATACAGTCTACGCGTTTCCTCTACTCCTCCTCTCCCTTCGTCCTCCTGTCAGGACAGAGAGCACTTTTCCCTCTCTCCCCTCAGGCCTCCTGTGGTGTAAATGATAGTTTCAGCTGTTGATGAGTGACTGACACTCCAGCATTTGGTTACATTTGTTTTTTTCCCTAGGTGGGAATACAACCTGCACAAACAACAGGATTTCCCTGTTGAAGTAGTGTGTTTCAAATTTGTCTAAACACTCTTAAATGGTTTGGGATCGAAAGACACTTTCAAAGTCCCAAAATGTATTTAATGGAAAGTGAAATAAAAATCTAAATCTAATCTAAATGTGGAGTTATTTGCAAGTCATTCAAAAATGTTCCTTTTTCCTTTTGTTCAAATGAATACGTTATGCTTTTATAACTTCATCTATGGTAAATGATAATAAAATGTAAGTTTGTTATTGTTAATTTAGTTTTGTTTTTATGCTAATATAGTGCTTGTTTTTCTTGAATTAGCTCTTTTACAGTTTAATTATAAAAATAATTAAAATTTTTATTAGTTTTTTTATGTTTCTATTTAACTTTAGTACATTTTTATTTCAGTTTTAGTTATTTTAGAATTTCAACTTATTTTATTTCAGTTATTTGCCAGGGCAGCATTTCTAATTTTCGTCTAATATTTATACTTAATTATATTTAACTTTATTTCAATTACCTTCAAAAATAATTTTGAATAGTTTAACAATATCAACACTATTCCGTTAACTTCCAAAGAGCCAAGCGCACACTACATGACTCAATCTCATTGTCTTTGTTTTGTTATGGCAATATAACACTTTTATATAAGGTGCACTTGTGAGAGATGCTCCAATTAGTGATGAATACTATGACAGATTTCAAACCAGTTTCATAATTCAAACTTTTAATGAACCAGTTTCAAATCAGTATATTTAAAATTACTCAATGAGTTGTCACTCAATAGTGTTCCCAATATTCCTCTTACATAGTTCTTTTCGCTGTCATCATTCAAATCTGCAAAAAGTTCCGCCGGCGGAACTGTCGACCCCAGGGGGTTTTAAGGATATAAAAATGTCTGATTTCTGTTGTTCATGGTTAATGTCCATTGATGCATTTTTTTTATTTTTTGCCACATCATTTTTTACTTTCTTTTAAATAATCTGACTATCTAGAAGGAGATGAATAAATACTTTGGAGAAACAATGGCTGTGATTCAGCATGCTGATCTCATTCCTGCCCCTCCTGCAAACCATGTGCGTGTGTACATGGCCACATTTGCATGTAGGCAAGCAGTGATTATGTTTGTACGACCGTGGTTATTGTGAACAAATGCCATTAGCATCTAAGTCCTGATGTGGGCTTTAATTGACGTAGGCTAGCATAAGACAAGGCAGGTTAATGCTAGGGGAGGTGTGTGTGTTTCTTTTGGTGTCACGCTGAGCCAACACCTTCACTAATCACTGACTGCTAGTCAGGATAATCAAATGTACTTACCAGTCACATTCCAGTTTCTTTGTGACTGTGCACATTCCAGGCTGTTACTGAGACTAAACCTTTGATATCTCAGCCGCAGATCACTGGGATAAAGTAGTGGTCATTTTTCTGTCTGTTTTTTTACATTTTCTGTGGCTATCTAAGTTCTACTTGCATCTTTTCCTCTTCTCTGTACTTGACCATCATTCTCTCTCATGAAAGGAAATCCCTGTGGTCATTTTCTTCTTGTATTGCTTCCTCTCTTGTATCCAGTCTCTCTCTGAAAGGCCCCTCTGCCCTTCCTGCACACTGTCTAAGTCTTACTCACTCGCCTCTCATTTTGTCCATCGCCAAAAAACTTCTCTTTCACAATTTACCGTAATTAACTTGATTTTCAAGGATGTCAATCATTTTTTCCGAATGGCTTGAAGCAGGAAAGAAAAAAATGCAATGGCTATTCCAGCTGGGTTGCTTTCCCGAAAATATGGACTTTAATCCAAACTAATCTGGTCACAGAATCTGGAACATTAACAGCCTTGAGATTCCACGAGGAGTGACTTGGCATGACAGGGTGCATCTTTACTTGAAGTTAGTTAAGTTAGAATTAAATTTGCTGTATTAATTGTAATAAAAACAACATGCACAGCCCTCAGAATTCATAATATTTTACACATTTGTGTAATCTTAAACATTATTTAAGACACTAGGGCGCAGAAGTCTGATTCTGGATCAATTTTACCAGATTGGGTAGCATATTAAAATATTTTGTTAACTACACACGGAACTCAAATGTCTTAATTTTTCCACCAGTTTGAGGCTGTGACCAAACTAGTTGCTTTGTGAAAGTACTAAAATATTACTATTATATGATAAATTAATTTACAATTTTTTTTTTCAAACTTTGTGTTGCAATAATATATTGAAGTATAATGGGTTATTTTAGTGACAATGTGAAATGTAAAATGTTTATCATATACCATTTCAATATTTGTGAAAATTTATTTTAAACAAATTGTCTTGAGTTAGAATCCAAAAAAAGGAAAAAAAACACTGCCTATTTCTATTTTCACTGTGTAGCTGAAGTAGGGACAGATCTTTTCTTACATAATGTGGCATATTTAAACTGACTATTGAATAAGAAAAAATGTAGGACAGGGTTTTGGTTCTATGCATCAGTTATTCATTGGATGGAATCAGATCTGAACACAAGCTTGCAGTCAATTGTGAGAAGGGAGCAGGGTTTAAAAAGCCTAAATGATTAGAGAAATGCAGTTATGACATTCTGATTAAAATTGACAAAAAGATCATATATATATATATATATATATATATGTACATTATATTCATTTTAGAGAATAGATTCAAAAGATTTGACTTTCTGGCTTCTATTTTTTTCAACTTGTACACCAAATATGTTTCCCCATCATAAGTTTTTTTTTCGCTCTCTTTTTTTCCAGTTAATATTCTTTATTCCCCCCAGTGCAGTAGTTGTGCCAGACGACATCTGGAGTCTATAGCTCGCACACCGGTCCATGTCTTCAGCTTGCATTGCATGGTGTTTTGTTCTTTGAAGTGACTGATGGCTTGGTAACATGCCACTATTTAATATCCTGGAAGGAAGTCGATTAATGACTATAAATCATAAAGCAGCTGTATAATTTTCTCCCTGTGTGATTATTGCAGAATACTCTCACTTGATACCTCACAGTAAACAGCTTCTCTGGAGACTGGT